TCGGGTGAAAACTTGATCACTTGATTGGAGGCTGGCAGCACTCTGATGCCGTGTCCTTTTTGAAGGCTCCGCCTTGGAGTTCATGTTCCGTTATTGGTCCACTTCGCCTCTTCGCAGTAGCTTGTCCATGGTTGTGGGCTCCGTCGTCTCCAAGCAGTGCTTCTTTTTTATTTGTAGTTGGCTTGGAGTTCTTTAGAGTGACCTTGCTGATCTTCAGCTCCCTTATATCTTGTCATGGGTGTGTGTTTTGTGGTGTCGGATTGTATGCGCCCAATTATTTATTGGTCATTGCTTTATATATAAAGCAGGGTGTGCGTCTTTTTCGGTATATAAATGCTCAAACATGTGAAGCAATCAGGACCTAACAACATCTCAGAACATTATAGATCGTCTTAAATGCATAGTTTAATTGTGTTCGCATATTTAAATGCATAGTTAAGTTTCAGTAGACAGAAAAAGATTTCTTTCCCTGACCCTAGAAGTTACCCTAAGGTGTCTCTCCCTCACACGGACGAGTTTGTCTTAGTTTTATAGGTTCTTTTTTCTCTTAGGTTTTGCTTCCATGGTGTTCTCATCAAGGTGGTAAGGGGGTGGTGTGTTGCAACAAGGTCTTTTCGGCCTCTTCCTTCCTTGACGATGTCTGGTCCAGCATCGACGAAGGGTCTATGATCGTAGGTGTGTTGTCATATTTGTTGGCTTTTTTCGGATCTTGTCAGTTTATGTGTCAAGAGTTGACTGGCTCTTAGTATGGCGACTCCGGCGTTTTTCCTTGATTCATTCCATGGCAATGACCCAATTTCTCCGACCCTCTTGAGTGGTGGTGAAGCATGTTATCTGTGGTGATGCCCCACCATTTTTTCTTCGCTGATACTAGATCTCGTTTGTAGTGGCAGTGACTATAACGGTGTTCAAAGCCTGGTATCACGTGAGTGTTTGCAAGGGTTCCTTTTCCTTACTGCCGGTCCAGTGCAATTTCCAATCTGCGGTGGGAGGCGTACAATCAAAAGAAGAAGACCATTAATATGATTTTCAGTGCACTTTTAATTTTTACAAGGTGTTTTACTAGGCGTACAACCTTGATATTTATGATATTTCAGATGTCCTTTGGGTATCTTAGCTCTTTTTTTTTGCATATAATCTAGGTGAAAAGAAACTAACCCAAGAAGCCAAGTTGACCTACAGGCAACTGGAAACAAGGAGGGCCACATGCATGATGCTGCTACCGCGACGAGACGAGAATCCAATGACTGCCACAGCAGCGACGCTCATTGCAAGAGGCCAACTTACACAGCCTGTAGGGAGCGGAAACATCGTTGCCTATTTCATATGTAGGGCATGGTATCATTGCAAAAGAGCTAGTGATTTACTCGTTTCACAGTTGATGTCCAACCTCTTCAAATTAGAAGCAAAATGGTACCCACATTAGGACGTGATCCAGATTGAGTGCACCATATGTAGCTGATTAGACATGTACCGGCGGTCTGCTCTTTCTATTTGTGGATAAACTGAAATTTCAGCACCATGGTTAGGTAGGAAAATGACTAAATCGTTGAAAAAGAAAAGTGCATCCGCCTATCGTACTAATTGAGGGTGATGTAACATTGACCGCCGATTTTGCTGAGAAGGGCAATTCAAGGGGGCGTGAAGTTTTTGCACCCGAGCTCACGAAAAATATTTTAAAAATGTTTAAAAAAATATGATTTTTTTATGACAAACTTTGACAGATGTTCTAAGAGCTTGCAAAGTTTTATCATGAAATCATATTTTTGGAAGACGTGGCAAAAAAAACGATAATCTGAAAATGCTACTTTTGAAAGCATTTTGAAGCACTGATTTTGTTTTGTTTTGCCACGACTTCCACAAATGTGATTTCTTGATGAAATTTTGCAAGCTCTTAGAACATTTGTCAAAGTTTTCCATAAAAAAATCAGATTTTTTTTTTACCATTCCTTAAATGGTTTTTGAATTATTATTCATCCCGAACTCATTTGAGCTCAGGTGTAGAAAGGGACTTTCGGATTCAAGGTCCTAACACTTAAGGATATGAAAGTCGACTAGACAAACAATTAAAGTGCAGCCCGTAAAAAATGGTAGTTTGTGATGAAACGTACAAAGAGATGGAGGGTCCTATTCTTATTAAACATCTTATATAGATGGCAGGAACAACGAAGCAGATTCTTCATCATTCTTGAACTCCTGGTTGTGTTTCACCTCTCACCTAAGCATCACATCTCGGCATGTCGGCCCGAAAAACTCAAAAGGGAAGAAGTCTCGTAAATTTCTTCATGCTGGTTTCAAGTTTGAAGTACCTTTTGGCAAAAGAAAAAACCCGCCTCTTGACACGATTGCCTCTTTAGGCCTTGTTTGGTGGAGGAGGTTTGGAGAGGTTTGGAGGGGAATATCCTCGTAGGGTTCAAAATCCCCAAAAATCCTTGTCAGCCCATTTGACACGTAGGGATTGAGCAGGCCAATCCTTTCTGTTCTCCACGAATCCCCCTCAATTCATGTGGTACAGAAAACCTCCCAAGACACCCATGAAACTGGATGCTTGCTTTGCTGCTGCTGTTGTAGGAGGTTTAACCAAATAGAGGGGTTTATGAGGGGGGAGGGATTAGTGGGAAATTGAGAGGATTGGGTGAAAGAGAGATTAACCAAATCCCCTCAGATCCCCCTCCACTCCGGAGCTGCAAAACCTCCCCTGTCAAACGAGGCCTTAGGGTTCTACGCGTAATAGCTGGGAAACTGACAAACAAGTGCAGCGCTGAAAGAAACCATACCTACACCTCTCTCTACCTCCTTTTGCCGTTGTTGGTTGGCACTTGGGCCATCCATTAATGGTCCTGCAACTGCAAGCATCCCAGGTAGAAATGTGACATGAGATCTGAAGAAATGAAAGCAACAAGCCAAGGAGAGAAAAACAGGAAGATGCGCAGAATCCAAGAACCCCCTTCTGTTTGCTGTTGTCCACTACAGCATTTCCAGCTACCATTTCTGTACTGCTTCTCTGTGACACTGGGAGAACCCTGGCGTGCGCTGATCCCATCAGCTGGCGTCACTCACTGAATGCACAAATGTACCACACCTGCTGCTACCTCCTGACGGTCGACCTGGCCGGAGCATGTGCGCACGGCAGACGACGGGCCTCGCATGTAAACGACTGCAAGATCTACCGGCAATTCAAACTTGCAGCGGCCAAAACACACAAGTCTTTAATTTAATTTCAACACCAAAAGTTGCAGAGCCCCCAGCCTGCAAAGCAAAATACACCACTTCTACCAGTTTTATCTCATGGCTCACAGAAGCGACAGGGTCTGCATGCATGCAACAATGTTTCCAGGAATTTACCAAGTACTATAGCGAGCAGTAACCATCACCGTACTGAACACAGGGACCGATTTTAAGTATCTCTATTTTTAATGAAGCGGTTGGTAGTTTCACTTTCAGATTTTTTTCGTCCCACCTTTTATGTTTTTTTTGGGTACATCCTCCCATCTTCGCTGGGTCTTTTCGTAGATTTTTTTCATCCCCTCTCCCACTTCATCGATTTATTTTCGCGTCACCCATTCACATAACGAAAGAAATCTAAACAGATCAGAACTTTCCATACTGTCGCAAGTTATTTATTAATATGAAATCAATCACGAATAATCTCTAAAGATCAAATCTAAATTAATTAACCTTACCTTAAATCACTCAATCACATTAATTAGAAAACAAATAATTGATTTTTAGAAAAATCGCTCAATCACATTAACTTTACCTTAACTCACGGATGGTAATCAATCTCCAAACAAAGGAAACAGTATGTCGAGGGAGCAATAAATAAACTCCCTTTCTTATGATATGTATATGATCTTCCCTTCCCTCTCCGTTGTCGAGCTTTCTTGATTCTCGAGGCTGATGCTTGGGCTGCATCACAGGGTCGCGACAGTGCCGAAGGACAAGGACGGCGAGGCCGGCTGCCGCGGCACCGCGTTGGCCGCGGCCGGTGAAGGGGGCGAAAAGGGGTGGCTTCCCTGACCCTGGTTGTGGCCGTGGCCGTGGCCCTAGGAGTTGGTGCGGTGGAAGCGGCACTTGAAAGACCCGGCGCGGGTGGCCCGCGCGCAGACGCACTTGGAAGCGGGCCCGTGGCCCGCGCCGGACGGCCGACACCGACCCGGGCCACCTCCTCCGTGTATTCTTGCAGCTGTGGCTGAGCGATTTACATGAAATTAATTTCCTGGGTTGTGGTGGCAAATATAATACACATAATCCATATTGTTATGCACTAGCGTGTGTGTGTGAAATAGATGAATTATGGTCCTGTACCCAATAAGATGGATATGTGTGTGTGTGTTAGAGAGAGAGAGGGAGAGAGAGTGAGGAAGAGGGACGAAGAGAGTGTGTGTGTGTGTGAGGATTTGATGGTAAAAAAGATTGCCAATGTCACTTGATATGTATGAGAATATCAATACTGAACTCTTAAAATTAATGTGGTCCCGTTGCAACGCACGGGCGTTCTTCTAGTCCCAGCAATTCCACAGAAACCATCACCAGATCCACATTTCTGTAACAGCTGCAGAAGCAGCAGCCGATCAATCAAACACTGCACACCTTTTTTGCAAAAATACCAGTGCCACTAGGGAGAAGCTTCAAGAGTATGATGAAAGTTCACACTTTTTACATGGAAAATACGTGCGACTACGCTGTGCTAGGAAACATACTAAATACGAGTTGCAGAGTTCATATACTTGCTGATTATTACAAACATGAATGCAGTCACCCGCTCTAATATCATGGTTTGCAGAAACTTGTTATCTGATAGGGCCACTAAACAAACCCTTTCGAATGCATAGACAAAAACAAGACGAGCAAAGTTGGGAGGGGAAAAGGTTGGAAACCAAGAAAGTTCATGCGGGAAACAAGAACCACCAGCGCCCCAGCATGTGCCGATGCTCATTATTTTTCTCGGAGTACAAATGAGTGCATAGCCCGTCCTTTGACAAACTAACACGGTGAACTCAGACCAAACCGAAGTACACGATGGTGTCCTTTGCCATGACCAGCAGAAGCAGGTTGAAGTATATCAAAGCCCACTTCCTGGTAATGTCGTGGTGCACATAGTCCAGAAAGATCTCCTTGTGGAACATGTAGATTTGATGGTATACCGCCGCGACCATAAGAGATGTACTGATGCTGTTCCTTGAGGAAAGAAGCAGAGCTGGGATCATGTAAAAGGTTACTCCTGTTAATATCTCTGATCGCCTGACTTTAGAACTTTCACTTGTCAACGGACTGCTTCTAGGTTTAGCAGCTGCTTCTAGTGGGCTGAATGCCGTGAATTTAGGGAAGGCTCCTTCAGTCGCTTTTAGTGCATCAGAGTGTCCCGTTCCAGCAACTGGCTTGCATGTCTCTGAGACCTGTCAAAACTGGAAACATCAGGTTCATGGACATCTAGCATAGAGTGGCATCATAAGTGAAAAAGAAGCACTAGTTGGATTGTGAGTTTGTGACAAACCTGTGTATTCTGCATGGGAGATCCATTGGATGCTACAGTAGAAAACCAACGCGGTAAAAATTGTGTGCCGCTGAGGTGTGATGTTGGCTCATGTCCCAGAACCTACACACATGTACATAGGCACAAGACCCAAGCAAACTAAATCACAACAGACTTTGCATTTCTTGAACAAAATCACCTAGGCTATGATCAACAGATGTCAGCCAACTAATGATTAACAGATGTCAGCCAACTAATGAAGCTACTTCTTTTTAGCCAATAAAATATGAAATGAAGTTTGCGAATGGGAAATCTTGGCATCACTAGGCAGAAGATTTCTTGATTGTGGCACATAGAACTCGAATGTTGACATTTAAAGTGTAATCAGCTTGTATTGGAAACATATCGTATCAGAGTCACACTATCCCCTCATGTTAAGTCAATGATCACAAAATGAGATACCCCCACTTCTCAACTCTAGCAATTAGCTGATATTGTGTGGTAGCATGCTCGACTTGTATGGGACGGCAGGTGGAGATTCTAGGGATGACTGCAATTGTTGTTCCTCGTACATTATTGGCATCCAGAGAGACCTCTAACATCAACCAGGTACATGTCAGGCTCGCAAATCAAAACCCTGACAGATGTTTTTTTTTGTTTATCTACCCTTCTGCAGTTCTACCGCTATCCTGACCACAATAGATTTGAATAAAGACAGAGGGGCACACATACTCCCTCAATCCCAAAATAAGTGTCTCAACTTCAGTACAACTTTGTACTCCTTCCGGTGCTTTTTAGTTCACATATAAGATTTGACTGAAGTCAAGCCTCGTAAAGTTTGACCAACTTTATAGAAAAAAATACCAACATTCACAATCTGAAATCAATATCAATAGATGTGTCATGACTTAAAGTTTCATATTGTATAACTTTAGCATGGCAGATGTTGATATTTTTTTATATAAATACGGTCAAACTTTGTGAAGTTTGACTTCAGAGAATTCTAATATGCAGAGTAAAAAGGACCGGAGGGAGTACTAAAGTTGTGCTAAAGTCGAGACACGTAGTACATACCACACACCGATACGATATATTAATTGGTATACATAGCACAGTTCCAATCTACCAAAACAATTATCCATCCTTCACGCTGAACGAGACGAAATCGAATGGCACGGGCAGCATCAGATGAGATACTATACTATTACTAGAACCAAACATCCACATGGCAGAGCATCAGATCAAACACACGGAACCAGGCATAACGCTCGCTTTCAAGTATATCACGACAACGCGCTAATGGGAGCTGGAAATGGATGGGTAGACGAACCTTGCTGAGGCCAGGAGGGGATCCAATCGCCGGGGACGGGGCGGCGGTGGCGGGGTGGCGCGGGAGGGAGGAGAGCGCGCGGGATCCAGCCAGGGGCGCCGGCGCCGCATCCGCGCGGGAGAGGGCGAGAGCTAGGGTTTTGGATCGGGCTAGGAATCGCGACGCCATGGCGATGTCTCGCGTCAGCTACCCTGTTCGCTGCCGTGAGGTCGCCAGGAGAACGGGGAGAGGAAGAAGGAGAGAGGGGCTCGTTTTGGGCCCTCAGGGGATTAGGTAAGTGCTGATTTGGCCCGGCTCTGAGCAAGCTCTTCTTTGATTCGGGCTGGCATGGGCTTCAGAATGCAGGCTCAAAGATGAATGGGCCCACTCAGACATTTGGCAGTTCGTCCATTTTGGAAAGATGAAATAAAAGTTGAAGTTATAGGGTACTCTGAGGGTGTGTTCGGAGGCTCTCCAGCTTCTCAAAACTCCACATAACTAGCTTCTCCTCGTGGCTTCTCGCTTCAGCCAGCGATTCCAATTATGTTCGGCTCCTGCTCCAGCTTCTCTTAGCGCTACAACCCAACTGGGGAGGGTTGTGGCCTGTTTAGGCGTGTTGGGCCGGCTGGAGGCAGCCCATTTCGGGCCAGCAGGCGGGGTGAGGCAGACTCCTGCGAGGTGAGCAGGGCTTCAATGACGTTGGAGCTTGAGGTTGCTCCCTTCGGGCTGTGTCGACGGGAACCAGTCGGGATTGGCCTGGAATGGCTCGATCTATTGTCGGGAACGAGCAACGGACGGGGACGGCGCTGCGCGCGATAGAGGTAAGGTTAGCGGCTGAGCATGGCATCAATGGCGTTGGAGTTTAGGTCCTGGTGTTGGGGTTGCTCCCTTCGGGCTGTGTCAATGGGATCCAGTCGGGATTGGCCTCGAACGGCTCGATCTATCGACGGGAAGGAGCGGCGGCCAGGGATGGCGCGGCGGCGCCCGCGGCGGCTAGGCCCGTGACGGCGGTAGGGTTAGCGGCTCGAGGGGAACAAACAGCTCGATAGGTTTTCCAGGGAAGGAATGAATCGGTAAGTTTGGCAGTGGCATATCGGCGTAATTTGGGCAAACTCCAGCTTTTATTTTTGGTGGAGCTGGGCCGCCGTCGCTCCTCGTTTTTGCACTGGCCTCGGGCTTAGCTTCCGGAAGCTAGCTTCTTAATGATTTTTTGTTCGGCTCGGCTCCCGCGTCAGGAATTAGTGAAGTGTGGAGTGGGAGGAGATCCGAACACGCCCTGAGTATCATATTGATGTAATCATTGATGAGCTTGTTGAGTTTCAAACAAGGGTGACCTTTGTGTATGGCGAAGCACAGGTAAATGAGAGATACAAAACGTGGGACACCCTCCGTGGAATAGTTGGTGCTAGCAATCTGCCGTGGGTGGTGATGGGAGATTTTAACGAAGTTATACATGCACATGAACATGATGGGGTAGGCCAACACAGTCAGGCCCAGATGGATGCTTTTCGGGATGCGTTGGACACTTGTGGCCTTGCTGATATAGGCTACACTAAATCGATTGGACTTTTGAAAAAAAAGGTGGCTGGAGGAACATACACAAGAGTAAGGTTAGACATGTGTGTGGCTAACACTGCATGGCTCTTGGCCTTCCCGTCTTCGGTAGTGGAACACAAGAACGCGGTGTCATCTGACCATATACCTATGCTGCCGCCGTATGAGGACAAACCGACAAGCAAGAGGGGCCCTAGATCTTTCAGATACGAAACTTGCTGGGAGAGGGATCCAACACTAGTGGTGGTGTTACATGCTGGGTGGACACGAGAAGATGGGGTTTCGGTGCAATCAATGCATGAAAGGCTATCGCGCGTATCGGGAGATCTATCTGCATGGGACAGAAATCACTTTGGGAACGTGCAAAGGGAGATGGCCCAATTGAGGAAAGAACTGCAGCAGTTGTGCGAGGCACAAGGAAGATCGGGGCCAACACATGCGGAATTAAAGATTAGCAATTTGCTGGTGGAACTCTTCCATAGAGAAGAGATGCTTTGGAGGCAAAGAGCTCGCGGGGACAAAAATACATACTTCTTCCACTTGAGGGCGTGCAGGCGCAGGCGGAAGAATAGCATCAAATCACTCCTTCGTAATGATGGTAAATTGACAGATAACCCAGCCGAGATGGAGGAGATGGCAACCACTTTTTATAAAGAATTATACAATTCAGAAGGGGTTCAGGGGATGGAGCAGGTTCTCCAATCGGTTGAAGGAAATATGCCCTAGAGGCAATAATAAAGTTATTATTTATTTCCTTATATCATGATAAATGTTTATTATTCATGCTAGAATTGTATTAACCAGAAACATAATACATGTGTGAATACATAGACAAACAGAGTGTCACTAGTATGCCTCTACTTGACTAGCTCGTTGATCAAAGATGGTTATGTTTCCTAACCATAGACATGAGTTGTCATTTGATTAACGGGATCACATCATTAGGAGAATGATGTGATTGCCTTGACCCATTCCGTTAGCTTAGCACTTGATCGTTTAGTTTGTTGCTATTGCTTCCTTCATAACTTATACATGTTCCTATGACTATGAGATTATGCAACTCCCGTTTACCGAAGGAACATTTTGTGTGCTACCAAACGTCACAACGTAACTGGGTGATTATAAAGGTGCTCTACAGGTGTCTCCGAAGGTACTTGTTGGGTTGGCGTATTTCGAGATTAGGATTTGTCACTCTGATTGTCGAAGAGGTATCTCTAGGCCCTCTCGGTAATGCACATCACCTAAGCCTTGCAAGCATTGCAACTAATGAGTTAGTTGCGAGATGATGTATTACAGAACGAGTAAAGAGACTTGCCGGTAACGAGATCGAACTAGGTATTGAGATACCGACGATCGAATCTCGGGCAAGTAACATACCGATGACAAAGGGAACAACGTATGTTGTTATGCGGTCTGACCGATAAAGATCTTCGTAGAATATGTAGGAGCCAATATGAGCATCCAGGTTCTGCTATTGGTTATTGACCGGAGACGTGTCTCGGTCATGTCTACATAGTTCTCGAACCCATAGGGTCCGCACGCTTAACGCTATGATGACAGTTATATTATGAGTTTATATGTTTTGATGTACTGAAGGAGTTTGGAGTCCCGGATGAGACCGGGGACATGACGAGGAGTCTCGAAATGGTCGAGACGTAAATATTGATATATTGGACGACTATATTCGGACATCGGAAAGGTTCCGAGTGATTCGGGTATTTTTTGGAGTACCGGAGAGTTACGGGAATTCGCCGGGGAGTATATGGGCCTTATTGGGCTTTAGGGGAAAGAGAGAGGAGAGGTTGGGCGCCCCCGAAGGCCTAGTCTGAATTGGACTAGGGGGAGGGGCTGCGCCCCCTCCTTCCTTCTCTTCTCCCTTCCCCTGCCTTGACTCCTACTCCTACTACTTGGAAGGGGGGAATCCTACTCCCGGTGGGAGTAGGACTCCTCCAGGGCGCGCCATAGGAGCCGGCCCTCTCCCCCCTCCTCCACTCCTTTATATACGTGGCCAGGGGGCACCCCATAGACACAACAATTGATCTCTTGATCTCTTAGCCGTGTGCGGTGCCCCCCTCCACCATAATCCACCTCGATCATATTGTAGCGGTGCTTAGGCGAAGCCCTGCTTCGGTAGAACATCATCATCGTCACCACGCTGTCGTGCTGACAAAACTCTCTCTCAACACTCGGCTGGATCAGAGTTTGAGGGACGTCATCGAGTTGAACGTGTGCAGAACTCGGAGGTGCCGTGCGTTCGGTACTTGATCGGTCGGATCGTGAAGACGTACAACTACATCAACCACGTTGTGCTAACGCTTCCGCTTTCGGTCTACAAGGGTACGTGGACACACTCTCCCCTCTCATTGTTGTGCATCACCATGATCTTGCATGTGCGTAGGAAATTTTTGAAATTGCTACGTTCCCCAACAGTGGCATCTGAGCCTAGGTTTTATGCGTTGATGTAATATGCACGAGTAGAACACAAGTGAGTTGTGGGCGATATAAGTCATACTGCTTACCAGCATGTCATACTTTGGTTCGGCGGTATTGTTGGATGAAGCGGCCCGGGCCGACATTACGCGTACGCTTACGCGAGACTGGTTCTACCGATGTGCTTTGCACACAGGTGGCTGGCGGGTGTCAGTTTATCCAACTTTAGTTGAACCGAGTGTGGCTACGCCCGGTCCTTGCAAAGGTTAAAACAGCACCAACTTGACAAACTATCATTGTGGTTTTGATGCGTAGGTAAGAACGGTTCTTGCTCAGCCCATAGCAGCCATGTAAAACTTGCAACAACAAAGTAGAGGACGTCTAACTTGTTTTTGTAGGGCATGTTGTGATGTGATATGGTCAAGATGTGATGAGATATAAGTTGTTGTATGAGATGATCATGTTTTGTTGAAGTTATCGGCAACTGGCAAAAGCCTTATGGTTATCTCTCTATTGCATAAGATGCAAGCGCCAAATAATTGATTTACTTTATCGCTATGCGATAGTAATAGTTGCAAGAGCAATTGTTGGCGAGACAACCACGTGACGACACATTGATATAGATCAAGATGATGGAGATCATGGTGTCATGCCGGTGACGATGGAGATCATGACGATGCTTTAGAGATGGTGATCAAAGGCACAAGATGATGATGGCCATATCATGTCACATATTATGATTGCATGTGATGGTTATCTTTTATACATCTTATTTTGCTTAGTTCGGCGGTAGCTTTATAAGATAATCTCTCACTAAATTATCAAGGTATAAGTGTTCTCCCAGAGTATGCACCGTTGCGAAAGTTCTTCGTGCTAAGACACCACGTGATGATCGGGTGTGATAGGCTCTACGTTCAAATACAACGGGTGCAAAACAGTTGCACACACGGAATACTCAGGTTAAACTTGACGAGCCTAGCATATAACAGATATGGCCTCGGAACACGGAGGCCGAAAGGTCGAGGGTGAATCATATAGTAGATATGATCAACATAGTGATGTTCACCATTGAAACTACTCCATCTCACGTGATGATCGGACATGGTTTAGTTGATTTGGATCACGTGATCACTTAGAGGATTAGAGGGATGTCTATCTAAGTGGGTGTTGGGTGGTAGGTGCGACATATGCCAACAGGTGGCTTA